CTCTCTAAGCCTTGCGCCTCCCTAATAGAAAAATCCCTAAAGTCTATAACCCTGAGCTCGGAAACGACGACAACGGCGAGTTCGTCTATGAGACGGTGCGCCTCCAAGAAACTGGTAGTCTAGTCTAATCCCGACAATTGGGAAGAGACTTGGCATAGCTCCGAGGAACCGCAGATCTACGAAGATACCAGCCAGACATTCCTTCAACTTTCCGGGCCTTCGTATCCCCGTCTCTGGACCCTCCTAAACCCTCAACCCTGCGTTGAAGACGTCAAGAGGAAGTCCCACTGGGGTGGAGAGGTTCAGAGCCAAGGGCTCGTCGATAACGTCTGAGTTGAGGATGCGAGGCTTTTGACCTAATATAAGGGCCTGAATAATGACCTATACATATACAAATATATATATATATATATATACGCGATTTGGGGGGGTTCTTATTATGACTATAGTGTAACATACCCCAAAACCCTGTTCGACATATTAAGGCCCCTACATTCGGTTGTCGTACATCTTGCCCTAGCTACACTGCCGCAAGGATCGGACCAATGTGAAAGTGAGAACTTCGTTCGCTTTAACTTTTTGAAGTTACGTGGGCCTTGGTGCCGCCGCATTTAGCTTCAACATGAGTTTCTTCATGAGGATTTTGGGTTTCGGATTCTAGGGTTTGGTGTTTTCGGAATTGAACAGCCAGGGTTTGAGTGCAGAGTAGATGGTTTCGGGTTTTCGAGCTTCCGCATCCAGGAGAACTCGGGTAGTTACCTCGGCACCGTGCCCGGAACCTACGACGACAACCCTGTGCAGGCAGCAGGGGTGCAACAGAACAATCCATCCAGGGAGATCAAGACCTTCTCGGTTCAGAAATTTGCGGCGCCTTTTTTTCTGGCTCCTCACATTAAGGGGTTCTGTTATATGGGGATTCTATGCTTTGGCCCCTTTCCGCGGCAGCTCAAAAGAGTGGCTGGGGGTTTGCAGGTAGCACTCTGGGGGGGTTGTTGGTTTCTTCACGTGCGTGTCAACGGTTTATACATCGGATCAGCACGTTTCCAACCTTAGGTGTTCGTAAACCTTAGACCCTCCACCCCTTAATGGGGGAAGATTTGGGGGATTGAAGGTGCCATGGGTCCTTTCGAAACTTACGTGACGAGCAGTGATGCGGGTGTCGAAAGCCGTAGAGTTCCTCTTCTTAAGAGGTGAGCAGTGTTCTTAGAACCCTAACACTCCAAGTATACACATACTACCTACTTTGGGGTCTAAAGTCTATAAATACTACCTACTTTGGGCTACTTGGAGTCTTAGGGTTGGGATATGTCGGACTGCCTTGCATCGTAGACCCCAAGCCGACGTACTACACCACGGGCCTGGACATTTTCTCAGCAGCATTCTTTAAATTGGCTGAGTTTCTCGTATTTGTCTCCTGCTGTCCTACTCAGCTCTACGTCGGGTCCCTTAATTTCTGGAACTCCCACAAAAACTCTCACAAAGATAGCAGTGCGAAGGTCAGCTGGAGACTTGGCCATCTTAAACCAAGCCTGAGTCTGAACAAAAGCCCAACACCATGTGGGTCGCTTTTCGGTTCCTTTGTATAAGGGTGCCGTAGTATGATTGGGACCTAGAAAGGGAACCTCGTTTAGAGAACTAATTACCCATGTCAGCCTTCAACCTAAACCATTGCTCGGTTACCCCAAACCCTGCCCAAGACTGAGCTCTCAATTTGCAGGTTGTGGCCCAGTCCAAAGCAGACGAGGACAAGTGCCCTGCCTCGTTACTTCAAACCTTTTGTAGGTCGGGCACGAGCGGGTTGGGTGCTCATGAGATGCAAGGAGTGTGGTTGTCGTTCTTGTCGCTCCGAAACCCTAAAACCTCAACCTTAAACCTTAAGACCCAAACTCCGTACCCTGAACCCTAAGCGCACACTCAAGCTGCCAATCCGTGCAGAGCAAGCTTCGAGCGCAAGCGCACCCGCAATAGTAGTAATCATAATGTCATGGTGATAGTAATCAGAGAAATTGCCCCACTCGCCAACAGACTTCGGAAGACAGCACTCCTCAAAAGGCAACAGGCGCTTTAGCCTCGTCTCATGACGATTCCGTCGGGACTCACTGAAGACTCCGGTGGTGGTCGTTGTACTCGAGACTTGCAGTCAAGACTGCCATGAAGCTCCGCAGTTCCAATCCTGATATACATATATATATATATATATATTCATTTATTTGTTTGTTTATTTGTTTACATCTTGAATTATCTTATACGAATTTTACACTACAGAAAACCCCAGGGAATTAGAGGAAATCCACACGCGTGCTGTGCTAGACAAGTGCGTTGGCAGTGCTTGTTCTATTTCCCGCCTCACATGCTCTCAGGTGCCTGGTCCTTGAGTACAAGGATGTACACACAGCCACTTGCATCAAGAATGTACTTTGACTCTGTGGAAGTACAACAGTAATTAAGCCGTGTTGAACCGACACCGTAGGAAGTCAAGCTATACGTACCTCAAAAGGGATCTTGCCGGGGGATTATGTTACTTCTAAGTCTGTAAAATGACCACTTAATACTCAATCCCCCGACCCTCCAGGAAGGTTTTTTGTGGGAACTCCACCCTTTCAGCCCATGGCCCTCGGATGAGGGAACTCGGTTTCGAGATATTATCGGAGGCAGTAGGGATCTTTCTCAAAGCTGCGCTGTCCATATTCTAGCAACTTACATTCGGTTCCTTCACGTTTTTCCACTCGCAGGGTCGGGTAGGCTCGACAGGTTCCGGTTTTTCAAAGACTTGTGTGGCACATGGCTGTCCTCTCTAGTGCCAAAGAAACCCTAAACCCTACCTGTATCCCCCATCCCAACAACATAGTAGGTTATGACCCCTCAACTAGAGGGCTTAGACCTTAAAACGGTAGGTTTTGGGATCCCCAGGTACATGAGTAGTTCTCTAAATAAGGGTGCCGTACTATATTGGGGACCGAAACAGGGATCCTAATTTAGAGAATTACCCACATGCTAAGCCCGAAACCTTTAGCTCAATCTGCGGGCCATCGGCCTGGCAAGACCCATAGGCCCTAAAGTAGTTCCTTTTGTGGGGTTCATATATAGAATCCTATAAGGTAATCTCAAAAAGGAACTACTATGGGGCCTATGGGTAGAAGGGAGTTTCAGAGCTGCGGGGGCTCTTCAAGCACAAGCATGAACCTGAAACGGGATCCCTGCAATACAATACCGCTTAAAAAAGTCATAACACCTCGTCTTCAGCATTTTGAACCCTCGCCATTAACCCCTAAAGTGCTTAACCCCTAAACCCCAAAGCCAAAAACTCTAAAACCCAAACCCCTAAGCACCCAAAACCCTAAACCCCCCTTCTTTCCGCCACCACCAAAAAAAGCTAAACCCGTAAAATCCGCAGAAACCCTAAGGCCTTGAAGCATCCGAAGCCTCAACGGCCCGGCACAGCTTAGGTCCATGGGTTCTGGAGTACCCTGCTTGAATAGGTTTTGTTGGTTTAGGGTTCAGGGTTTAGGGCTAAGGGTTTAGGGTTTAAGGCTTAGGGTTTAATGCTTTGGGTTTGGGGTTTAGGGTTTAGGGTTTAGGGTTTAGGGTTTAGGGTTAGAGGAACCATTGTAAAATAAGTCTATACTTTTGTCTCCCTGCTTCCTAAACCCTAAACCCTAAACCCTTCAAAGTCCAGGTCCGCATCACCTTCGACTCCACCAAGGGCTTCGCGGCGCGAACCACGCAGCAGCTCGGCGAGATTCTTCCGGATGTCACGGGAATTATATAAGGGTTTGGGGTTTAGGATTTTAGGGTTTGGGGTTTAGGATTTTAGGGTTTGGGGTTTAGGAGTTTAGGGTTTAGGGCTCCCGGGTTCAAAGACCCTACAATTTCTAGGGCTTAGGATTCGTCTTCAGAGTTTGGGCCCTAGGGTGTAGGGCTTCAGGTGCGGGAGTGACTTCGATTCGGGGCAGCATCTCTCGAAGGTTGGAAGGTGTTTCAGGGTCGGAAGCATAAGTGATGGCATCCCCTTGTGGCCCCTTTTGTGTCTTGCATAATTCGAGTATATTATACATCAAGCCACATTCCAATTCTTAAGGCCGTTCAAAGCTTGGAAATACAGGCATCCGTGGCTTTTGCTTATGGTGTCAGGGCTGGAGGTTTGATAAGGAATCCAGGGCAGAGGGCTTAGTGCCCACCGGTTCCATTGAGGTCTAGAGCCACTTCGGAAGATATCCTTAAGCCCCAATTATTAATCCCTCACCCTAAACCCTGCGTGCTCCGGTTGTTGAGAGCCTACCACTGGCAGACG